CAGAAAGAAGAAATGATACTCTGACTCACCACTGAGCCACTGGGGGTCGGACAGAAAGAAGAAATGATACTCAGACTCACCACTGAGCCACTGGAGGCCGGACAGAAAGAAGAAATGATACTCAGACTCACCACTGAGCCACTGGGGGCCGGACAGAAAGAAGAAATGATACTCAGACTCACCACTGAGCCACTGGGAGCCGGACAGAAAGAAGAAGAAATGATAATTATTTACCGAATCATGAAATACTTTGTAGAAAGAGAGGTTAACGATTCTATGTTCGACTTCTGTATGTAAGAGGTCAGTTATAATCTGGTTATATCCGCCAACGTTAAGTAGAAACAGGTACGCTGAATTAAGTTATTCAAATATATATATAATGATAATTGTTTTGGGGGTGTAAGTAATGAATTGGTTTTGTTTTTGCCTAAAGTACACGTTTACTAGAAAACAAATGAAAGTTTCGATTAAAACAAATACTTTACATAGAAATAAACCTCCTTATCTAAAGTTACAGTTTGAACCTGCATTATAGACTTCATTGTTTAATCGTTATAAAAACACAGCAGACCAGTGAGTATACAACACTCCTGGGAAACATACCCTTCACTAGGTAAGGATAACTATAAAGCTTTTTCATTGTTACACAGTTTTTCCTAAACCTAGTTTTTCAGGACTTTTGTAAACAAACATACGAGAGATGGTGTGTGTCTTTTGTTTTAGCATAAAGCTACAAAATGGGCTGTCCACCGGATTTAAACCCCGGATTTAAAAGTTATTAGTGCGTAAACTTATTTCTGATTAACACAAATAACGTTGTATAGTCTAGTGGTTCTCATTATGGGTCAGCGAGACCTGAGAGAGGACTCATCACGTGTAGAAATATTCTATTTAAAACTTCACTGACACCGAACAAAACACTATTTCCAGCGACAATTTTATTTCTTGTAGAATGTTGCTTATTCTTGAAAGTTAGGTACCCCAGGGTGGCTGTTGTTTGAATTTCTATTAAATTAATAGGTGGAATCCTCAGCTAACGTGACTAAGGTTTTGGAAGCCTAAAGCTAAAACATTTTTTTGGAAAACCGTGATTTTCTTCAAAAAAGTATACATATTAAAAGCGTATAGAAAATACATCGAAATAATACAATACTTTAGACTTTGATTCGCCTGTGTTTCAAACTTTAAAGCTGGTTCTATTGTAACTCAAACCGTTTCGGTTTCAAAGACTGTGGATCGAAAGAGAAATGTATTTGTGCTAAATCGAAGCGAATATTTTTAAATTACAGATGTTCCTTGAGTTACGTTTCTAATAGTAACATAAAGATGTTTTCAAAGTTTCTCTAACACTGTGTAATTTTGTAGTTAATGCGTTTTGTCATGCTATGATAACGGTAACAGCCTTGCCCACCTATAAACACATACCTTTAAATATAACAGCTTGTTCATTGTACAGAACGAAACGATTAGCATACATATTTAGAAGTAACGTGACTAACATGCAAATTTGTTTGACTAACAGGTATAAAAGTTAAGAAAGGACCGCGTTTGAAAGGACCACAGTAATGTTTTCATTTTGTAAAACATCCTTTCGTTGGAAAGCAACGTTCTTCCAAAAGCTGTTATTTCACTTGTCATATCTTGTTTTATTTGCAGGTTTCGTCTACAGTTTAATTACCGTGTTGAACCGTTCCTTGCCATACCCGACGATAACAGAAGTTAGATATGAATCGTTAGATAAACAACCTTTTCCTGCAATGACCATCTGCAGCACAGAAGAGTAAGTTATTTTTCTTTAGATCACCACAGTGTAACGATGAAACATTGGAACTACTAGAATTACTTTACAATGATAGAGTTTTTAGAAAGTCTTAACTTTCTGCTAGCCCTGAATTACAGACCATTGGTTTAGGTAACATAATATTTTATTTAACGCGTTGATTAATTTGTCTTTTCCAATTTTTTTATGTTAAAGACGTTCTAGGTATTGACTAGTGATGCAGTGCTTAAGTTATTAATTTTATTTTCAAATTGCACTGACAGCTAGTACAATGAGACATGTTTTGACACCAAAGTGTTATCATAAGCCACACACGACTGTTTTGTGAAACTAAAGGCTTCATACATATAGTATTGATAGTTACCTGACTCAACTATTCGTAAACATGTATTCAGATCCTGTAACATTTCCTGTTGTCAACATCTGTTTATGTGCAGGATTACATTACGTTTCCGTTGCTAGAAAAATATTACAATACGTAGAGAAATAAAACTAATTTATTTACAAAATTACGAACATTATATCCGTGTAGATAAACTTACTGCAGAAAGTAATGGCTCATCTAGGGATTTTTCTAAACAAGGAAGAACAACAGGAAATATATAACATCTATTCACCTAAAACAAAATATTTCGGTCTAAGATTCTTTTCTTTTTCAATGATGTTAGCCTAATTTTTAATTTCTGATCAAAGTAATTGGTTTCTTACAGTTAGGAATGTCTTTTATTAAAATAATTACGTATGTACGTTTCGTATAAGTGTAGTTTCGAAAAGAGAAATCTGGAAAACTGCATTTTATTTTTGGATAATAAATGAAGACATATGAAATTTGGGTTAAATTTTTTTTAACTGGTTTCGTCCATTTAATACATAGAAGCATTATAAAATGAATATTGTTACGTCTCCGTTTGTTAATTAATTTTCCGTAACTTCGTTCCGACGAAACTTTAACGACACAAGTCCTTACTTAATAAAACTGATTTATTCTTTTTGAATATAACTTTACCGATACACTTATTTTCAACAGTCGCTCTTTTACAAACGTTTTAACAACGAACGTTAACTTCAACAATACTTCCTGACTGCAGTTCAATTACTCACTACCTACACACACATTCTTCCCGTCAAGTTGTGACCATCTTATATATACCAGGCTACCCTATATCTAGTAATCTCCCGACAATTTACGAAGGTACAAGATATTTCCAGAAAGCAGGGGGCGTGACACTAGTCACGTGACCTCGCTGATGCAACAATCTAAATAGATTTCGTAATGATCTGCTTGAATCAATTAAGTTTATTGTATAACCGAACCGTATGATGGTCATACATGTCAAGTTAAATTTGTTCAACAAGTTTGACAGCCACTCCAAAAATAAAAGACGCAAATGAAACACTTAAATACATTAATGGATTCCCTACCAATTGCAGATAAAGATCTCTAAAACTAGATATTTGCTAAAAGGCTTAAAATAATATTACGATTTTTATATGGTATTTATGAACAGAAAATAGGTTTGTTTAAACCGAATTAAAGAAATCCGAGTATTTGATCGCTTTGAAAGGTAAGAAAACAAAACAACAATCGTTATCATCTTTTAGCCTGAAATCAGAACTAGCATATTTGTAGCACTTAAGGTTATAGGAAGTGGTCTCTATAATACGTGATATTAAACATCTCAGAAGATGTAGAGTCGATTCTTCATCCAGCAATGATTATTCCTGCCAACATCATACTTCCATTACTACTAAATACATCACGTATGAAAATGTTGTGGAATCTGGTTCGAGATTATTTTTCTGGCTGTAGAATAAATCACGATTCATATGTAAAAAGAAAATCACTTCACATTCTGTTGGTCCAGTGGATACGTTCTTTGTAGAGTCGAATAATGATGTATGAGATAATAATGAGAAAAAAGTGAGAAAAGAATGACACTTCAAATAATGGCTCCAGTAATAAAAACTGATAAAAAATGTACATGATAATTTGTTGTTTGTTGTTGTTTGAAGTTAAGTACAAAGCTACAGAATGGGCTATCTGTGCTCTACCCACTACGGGTATCGAAACCTGGTTTCTAGCGCTGTGAGTCCGCAAACATACCGCTCTGCCACTGGGTGGCTACTTGATAATGGGAAGTAGAAAGAAGGTTTGATTAAACCTTGGTAAAACAATAAATTACGCCGTAAAACCTATACTGTTCTTATTTTAAAGAAGAAATTGAACCATTATTATTAGAACTATTTTAGTGATACCGTTATAATTAGAACCATTTTAGAGGTACCGTTATAATTAGAACCATTTTAGTGATACCGTTATAATTAGAACTATTTTAGTGATACGTTATAATTAGAACCATTTTAGTGGTGCCATTATTATTAGAACTATTTTAGTGATACCGTTATAATTAGAACCATTTTAGAGGTACCATTATAATTAGAACCATTTTAGTGGTACCATTATTATTAGAACTATTTTAGTGATACCATTATTATTAGAACCATTTTAGTGGTACCATTATTATTAGAACCATTTTAGTGATACCATTATTATTAGAACCATTTTAAAGGTACCATTATTATTAGAACTATTTTTAGTGATACCGTTATTATTAGAACCATTTTTTCTAGGATATTTAGCGCCATTGCAAGGGAGGCGTTTTTTACCGTTCTATGAGTAAACACAGTTTATTTGGTTTAGTATTAGAGAAACTAGTGCAGTTAGCTTCTGACGAGTAGTTATAAAATAGTACTACTACCACTTAATTCCTTACCCAGAAAAATGATCTTATCCATCCAGAAATTGAAGAGCAACAAATCTCACGTACAGATATATCTTGGCTAGAAACGTACTTCTTATTGAAGTACATATGAACTAATGAAACCAATTAATATATGTAATTTTTATAACCATTCCGCAGTCGAAAGTGCGGAGTGCGTAGGGCAACACATTAGTTTTTAAGCCACGTACAGCGGTGGAAAAAGTGAGATGTTAATAAAGGAATCAGACTTTGAGAAGTTACTGTATATTTCTTACAATACTTTGTTGTTTGTTTGTAGTTAAGCACAAAGCTATACAATGAGCTCTCTGTGCTGTTCCTATCGCGCGTATCGAAACCCGGTTTTTAGCGTTATAAGTCTTCAGACTTACCGCCGAGAGTTCTCCGGTGGAACAGTGGTAAGTTTACGGACTTACAGAGCTAAAATGATGGGTTTGATCCCCAACTGTGAACACAACAGATAGCCCAATGTGACTTTTCTCTAAAGCAAACAAACAAGCATTCTCTTATAAACAAAGTTAAAGCATGTGCGAAATAAATCAACCTAGTGAAATTATCGTCAAAGGTAAGTTAAAAAGAAATGAATAAAATATCGATTAAATTTGCAAAAGTTGTCTTTCACTATTGTTCCTTTTTTTGATCAAATTTGATGTGTAAAAACAAAACAAAATCCTATTGGATGCTAATAGATTAAAGAGTGACTATATTTATAATATATATATATACATCTGAAAGTAAGTAGATTGTTATGAATAGCGTTTAGAGAATAACTAAATATACATAAAGAACTATTTACAGTTTGGTAAAACACGCTTTTTATAATATCAAACGTATTTCAACTATGTCCTAAAGTAACTATACAGGTGGAAACGTTTTAGCGATGACAATAGTATGAATTGATCACCGCCTGTAGTGTTATTTCCTGTATTGTAATGGTGTTAAATGATCGTCGTTTACAGAACACTACATATTGTTTGGTTGTAATGGTGTTAAGTGATCAATGTTTACAGAGTACTACATATTGTTTGGTTGTAATGGTGTTAAATGATCATCGTCTACAGAGTACTATATATATATTGTTTGGTTGTCATGGTGTTAAATGATCATCGTCTACAGAGTACTATATATTGTTTGGTTGTCATGGTGTTAAATGATTGTCGTCAACAGAGTACTATATATTGTTTGGTTCTAATGGTGTTAAATGATTGTCGTCAACAGAGTACTACATATTGTTTGGTTGTAATGGTGTTAAATGATCAATGTTTACAGAGTGTCATAGACCAACATTGTTGAAAGTACCTTTTGTTCACGTGATCACGGGTTTTCAAATAAACTTTATTTTATCCAACTGTTTTGCCAAGTTATACGGCTCAACACGAGCCCTCGGTTGTCAGAAGTATTTCACTTATCATAACAGATCTAATATATCACGAGAGAGAAATGTTAATAACGAACTTTATATAGCTACGAAGCTCTTCTTTAATGAATGTTTTCTTCTCCTTTTCAGTTTTAACAGATCTGAAGCATGTGTGTATAGCGACTTTGTCTGTCCCGATCTGTCTCCCGACGATCTGGTAAAGTATTCTTTTATATTACGATTTTCTTGAGGAGAAAGTCGAAAATTAAATCGAATGACGTCAAATTACTTAAATCAACAGTATGCTGATCTCTGTGCCTTATCATAAGTACTCAATAAATTGTTAAAACAAACTAGCGTGGTCTGTAAAACTTTCACATTTCTGCGTTTTTGAACAAAATGGTTAGTTTAAAAGTCGAGTACTTTATGTATATTACTTTAGTTGTTCTTAAGCTCATTTACTGGACACTCACTTTTCGTGAGAAATATGTTTTGGAATTTGCGCATCTTAAGGCCTCAGCAGTCTATGTATATCATGATCAAACGTGTTTACTTGAAATTTTCTCATATCTTATAGTCTTCATATACAAGGGAAAAATGAGTCACTTCGATAATCTGTAAAGTGAACACAAGTTTACTTGTTTGCTTTAGAATTCTGGGCAAAGATACACAAGGGCTAACTGCCCATAGCAATCTCATATTTTGAACTGAGACTAGTGAAAAGAAATAAGCACCAACTCTTGCGCTACTCCGATCAGTTTTTGAGACTTGACTGTCGCGGTTATAACGCATCCACCCACCAAATTGCGAAGTCGCAATTCGCCGAGAAAAGAGTGCGAACCACGAATCGTAGAATTCACGGTCTGGGCACGTTAACCATTGGGCTACTCTCAACTCATTATTCCTTCTAGAATGGCAAGTGGCATTCAGTAAAACATTAAATACTTTCCAATACTTTACCTGTTATTTTTGTACTGCTACGAGTAAAGCTATGTGTTTCGCTAAGTTTATTCAGCTATTTTGAACATTTAAATTTTGTTTGTTTGTTTGTATATTGTTAAGCATAAAGCTACACAATGCGATATCTTTCCTCTGACCAGCGCGTGCATCAGAACCCGATTTTTGGCGTGAAAAACCCTTAGAGATTACCCCTGAGCTTATTTGCTGTAAGTTGTGGAATAAGCTGTTAAGCTTAGTTTAATTTAGTTTGAATTTTGCTCAAAGCTACTCGAGGGCTATCTGCGCTAGCCGTCCCTAATTCAACAGTGGTATACTAGAGACAAGGCAGCTCCGCCAACTCTTCGGCTTCCCAACGAATAGTGGGATTGGTCGCCACATTATAACGCCCCCAAGGCTGAAAGGGCAAGCATGCTCAGTGACGGAAATTCGAACCCGCGACCAGTTAGAATAAACATAATCAGTTTCATTCATCTATTCATAATATTCTCCATTCTTGCAATATGAAGACTTTATCGGCAATTCTTCTTTTTTTTTCAGAAAAAAAAGTAATATGTTAATACCGTTTTATTACCAATAGCAAACTGTGGCCAAAATTGAATTTCTGAGGCGACAAGCTATAATATTGGCCGAAGACATCCATCTAGAAGAATTTGGATTTCTGTTCAAGAATATGATAAAATTTTGTAAATTGGGCGTTCAAGTCAAATGCAGGTGAGTCAGAAAACAAGTAATGGAACTTTCTTCATGTTCTCAGCCAATCAGGAACTCGATAAATATTGATCTTTTCAAAATACAAAAATGTGATATCCTGAAACCCACACACATTCAAGCTCATTATTAGCCATCTCAAGAATGTGAAGCACACACTTATCATACTAGCTCATTATTAGCCATCTCAAGAATGTGAAGCACACACTTATCATGCTAGTTCATTATTAGCCATCTCAAGAATATGAAGCACACACTTATCATACTAGCTCATTATTAGCCATCACAAAAAAGAAACCTAATTGCGAGTATTTGGGTTTGTAGTACTAGTGATCTCCACAATATATTTTTGTTACACCTTCTTTGTCTTTCGAGTTCTTTCATCTTATCTTCCTTAAAGGGACGACTTGTACTCTTGGGTAGTTCAATAGAAGAACAATGACATCGTTATTCAGGGGTCCCAAGCCCAGGGCTTGAGTCACTTTATGGTTAATAGCTTTTGACCCAAAAATATTTAAAGTGGGGTGTTGCTGTTGTTGTTTGTTATTAAGCACAAAGCTACACAAAGGGCTATCTGTGCTGTGCCCACCACGGGTATCGAAACCCGGTTTCGAGCGGTATAAGTCTGCAGACTGAGAGGGGGGCTTAAAGTAAGAAATAACTTTTATTTGTTTCATATTTTTCACTTTCCGATGAGAATTAAAGCTTAAGTAAAAAACAACAACAACAACAACAGTCGATTAGCTAAATATTAATGTAAGAACGCAAAAATTGTCGAATAATTATAAGTGTTTTTTAAAATGTACTTTTTTGACAAAATTATCTGTTGTATATTTTCTAATTTCCATGAGAATTAAAGCTTATAGCAAAAAACAATATATTAATTAAATATTAATGGAAGTACATTAAAACCATTGTTTATAATAATTCTTATTGTAAATGCATTTTCAACAAAACTGTTGGGGGGGGGGGATAAAATGTTGCACTTGACGACATTTCATTGAATCTCGATAAGATCGTTTAATCAACCTACACACAAAAACAACACACACTAACATCCTTAATCAACCTACACACAAAAAACACACACTAACATCTTTAATAAACCTACACACACACACAAACACACTAACATCTTTAATAAACCTACACACACACAAACACACTAACATCTTTAATAAACCTACATATAAAAACACACAACAACATCCTCAATCAACCTACACACAAAAACACACACTAAAATCCTTAATCAACCTACACACAAAACACACACTAACATCCTTAATAAACCTACACACACAAAAACACGCTAACATCTTTAATAAACTTACACACAAAAACACACACACTAAAATCCTTAATCAGCCTAAACACAGAAACACACACTGAAATCCTTAATCAACCTACACACAGAAACACACACTAAAATCCTTAATCAGCCTAAACACAGAAACACACACTGAAATCCTTAATCAGCCTACACACAGAAACACACACTAAAATCCTTAATCAGCCTAAACACAGAAACACACACTGAAATCCTTAATCAACCTACACACACTAACATCTTTAATAAACCTACATATAAAAACACACAACAACAACTTTAATAAACCTACACACAAAAACACACACTAAAATCCTTAATCAACCTACACAAACTAACATCTTTAATAAACCTACATATAAAAACACACAACAACAACTTTAATAAACCTACACACAAAAACACACACTAAAATCCTTAATCAACCTACACACACTAACATCTTTAATAAACCTACATATAAAAACACACAACAACAACTTTAATAAACCTACACACAAAAACACACACTAAAATCCTTAATCAACCTACACACACTAACATCTTTAATAAACCTACATATAAAAACACACAACAACAACTTTAATAAACCTACACACAAAAACACACACTA